ACGCTGCTGGAAATGTCCGTCTGCCCTTGTCCTACTTCGGGATACCTCGTCCAGGGCACGTTAGATCCCAATGTGTTGCAAAAGTTGATTCACCAAGGTTGTCTGTTGTGCAAGGGCGCTCGTCAACTCTATGACTTGTCGAGACAAGTGTTGTTCGCCATTTGGATTGGAAGAGCTTGGAAGGAATGCGCCTCCTTGGGCAGTGAAAGGGTGGTAGACTTCGGGCGCGAGATTTGAGTTGGGAAATGTCAAACCCGTGAAAAAATGTGGTGAGAATGCCCCCGGTTCAATGGTAGGTCCGGATGGTTGAGATAGTCTTGGGCCGACTTGGGCTGCTTGGAAAGCCACTGGAGCAGGATAGGCAGTGAGAGTGGGCTGCTCGTCGGGAGCAGGCTGGGTCATGAAAGCAGGCTGCTTGGCAGGAGCAGGCTGGGCCACGGGAATGGGCTGCTCGACGGAAGCAGGTTAGGCCACGGGAGTCGGCTGCTTGACAGAAGCAAGTTGGGTCACGAGAACAGGCTGCTTGGCAGGAGCAGGCTGGGCCACGGGAGTGGGCTGCTTGATGGAAGCAGGCTGGACCACGGGAATGGGCTGCTCGTCGAGAGCAGGCTGGGTCACGAGAGCAAGCTGCTTGGCAGGAGCAGGCTGGGCCGCGAGAGCAAGTTGCTTGGCGGGAGCAGGCTGGGCCACGGGATTGGGCTGCTCGACGGAAGCAGGCTGGACCACGAGAGTGGGCTGCTCGTCGGGAGCAGGCTGGACCACGAAAGTGGGCTGCTCGTCGGGAATAGGCTGGGTCACGAGAGCAGGCTGGGCCACGGGAGTGGGCTGCTCAACAAAAGCAGGCTGCTCAATGCGCGGTGCATGTGAATGCGAGGCTTGGGCTTGGGTCCACGTAAACTTGGATGGCACGGCTTGGGTCGTGGTCTTGGTACCGTGAGCCTTGGATGGCACGGCTCGGGCCGTGGTGAAAGCTCCATGGACCTCGCCACGAATGGCTACCGAAGTAGCCACCGCGATGGTTCCCATGGTGGCCGTGGTGAATGCACTATGGACCTCGCTGTGGGTGGCTACCGAGGTAGCCACCGCGGTGGTTCCCATGGTGGAAACTCGTGGTGGTGATGCCGCTCCCCTTATTGTCGCATTTTGCCTCATGGATCTTCGCAATCCCATTTCTTGTATATTAGAATTTTCATTTGTGGAATTTTCTAAATTTCTAGCCATTATATTTTGCTTATACGTTTTATTAAAGAACCTTTGCAAGTAAAAAATTCTAATAATAAGAACGTATGAAAAATATTCAAATGGACTAAAAAATAAAGAAAAAACCTTTTTGTGCGAGAGTCTTCTACGAGTATGGATTTCAACTCTCAATGAAAGCACCAATTTGTGGATGCAAATTTCTTCCTCCTCGATCTTGGACGATTTTGCACCTACAAAACAATTAACACCTTAGGTTAAGGCCAAGAGCCTCACGCGCCCACGATGAATGGGGGGGGCTTTGGCCGAAGAACCTCCGATGCCAAAGTTAGAATTTAGAGAGAAAGAGTGTTTAGAGAATTTTGGGATTTTTGCCAAAATGTTGGAATTAGCTTTTTGGTGAGAATGGGAGTATATTTATAGGGATAGGAGGTGGCTAGGATTTTTAGGTTTAATTTAGGTTTAATTAGCCAATTTATTATGATAAATTTGCTAATTAAACATAAAGGGAATAAATGGATGGTTATAGAATCAATTAGCTAGCTTAATTGGGGTAGTAAAGTGGGAAAAGATAGGGAAGGTAGAAAGCTTAAGGGGATGGCCGGCCATGTGATGTTTTAGGGTTGAATTGGTTGTATTTTGTGGTTATTTGGATATAATGGATGGTTTAATTGAGAATTAATGGGTTAATTAGGCAATAAACCCATTAATTAGCCAATTAACATAATTGAAAAGGAATGTGTTTGGGAATTACCTTGTAGAAAGGATTTGATGAGATGGACTTTGAATTGTTACCTATTTTGGGCACTTCTGTCTTGGTTGAAAGAGGGTTGCCCGCTGCTTGCGCGTAGGAACCTCGTTGTACTGCAAGGGTATTTTTTTCCTTTTTGTCCAAAAAATCCACGTGTCGCCTTGTGAATATTTTTGGCTCCACATTAGTGTCACTACACGAATGGGATGAGACTTTTCATCCTTCCAATTGAAGCGGACATAGTATGTACCGGTCTATGCATTGTCAGTATCCCTCCGACAATCCTATGACCAGGAACCTTTTGGACATGATGGTCATGTGAAGAAGGTTTCTGTAGTCTAACTTCATTAGATTACTTCTTCAATCGATCCATTGTCCATGGATTCACTATTTAGGACTTACATCGTTTATAGAGATAGTCCTAATTAGTATCTTTGCCATTTGATGTATAAGGTTCATCTATACATCCATTCATTGTACTGAAAGGTTTCTTCCAAAGATTGACTTTCAGGGCATATTTCCAACAATGTAGCTCAATGTATGTGGGGTTTTATCCTAAAAGGCATCAGTGGATTAGAAATGAAACCATTTGTATATAAATTATAGTAGTATTGTCAAATCTCTTATGTGGGATTTCCAACATATTTTATTTACTATGTCATGTACTCACTTTTCTAATAGGAATGAGACTATCATTGGTGGAACTTACGTACCAACATTAGAGAGATCGGGATGCAATATGCACATAATTGTTGAACTCTACAATACTCATCATGGATGCACTTATTTTTTAGTAATAAATCGGTACATGCTCTTATATTATTTGGTGGCTCTAACATTAGTTTAAGCGCCTTGACTTCATCGTGTTGTTGCTCTGTTACTTGTAGTCTTGGCGTCAAACTTAGGGGTGGGCACGGGCCGGGCCGGGCCCAAATTTGAAGGGACCGGACCGGACCCGCTTAAAAAGGAAACGGGACGGATCGGGCCGGGTATTGCAAATTTGATTACTGAAACCGGACCTAACCCGGCCCATTGGAAACGGGCCGGTTCGAGACGGGTCCACGAGTCCTTCTTTTCTTTTCTTTTTTTTTGTTTTTTTTTTTTCTGGTTTCGAATTTCAATGTCCTCCCGGACTCGCCATCCTCAAGATTCGTCATCCTCCAAATCCTATTTTCTTAGTAGCCAAACAGAAAACAAAAAGGAATGACCATCGATGGTGACCAAACAAACAAAAAAAATAAGAAAAATCAGAAGGTTGGGGGAGAGAGAGATCGAGAGACTAGGGGAAAGAGATCGAGAGGCAGGAGGTTGAGAATCGACAGATCCAAGGTGTGAGAAATCGGAGATAGAGGCGTCGGGAGAGAGAAAAATTGTAGGGGAGAGAGAAAGAGTGAGGAGACTGAGGAGAGGAGAGTCTTCGAGAAGGTGTGAGACACTGCGGTGGAGGTCGCGGTGGAGTGTGGGTGTGGGTGTGGGTGTGGGTGTGGGTGTGGGTGTCGTCTGTCTGCTCCAGGAAGGAGAGTTGCAGAGATGGGGGAAGAACAAACACAGGGAGGAATGAGGGAGAAGGATTGAAAGATTGGGTGTGTGTGTGTGTTCTCAGAAAAGCAAAAGTATCAAGATAAGAAAGAGGGATCAAGAGGTTGGGTGTGTGTGTGTTCCATCAAAAGCAAAAGCAAAAGCAAAAGCATCGGGACAAGGAGACAATCTGACAATGTTCACGAGGAGCCTGGGAGACCGAGAAAATATTATATTTAAATTGGGATGTTACACAAACGGGTTGGTCGGGTACCCGTTTTTTTATACTTCTGGACCCGGCCCGCCCCTAAAATTCTAAAGCCCCGCCCCGCCCCTCCCCGTTTCTCTTTTTAAAAATTAGGAACCGGCCCGTACCCGCCCCGACCCGCGGTTCCTGTACCCGTTTGCCCACCCCTAGTCAAACTCGATTTTGCAGCTTGAAGCTCTTACAACAATCATATTTCAGTTTGAATCTTCCTAACTCTTCGCATCTTAGATTAATTTTAAACAATCCTTTATATAGCAAATGGAAGATATAATACATGAACTAAAGTTAACTACAATACCACAAATTACCATTTGCCCGACCAAACAAATTTCGTCTGGCATAGTAAATTTACCTGGCACAATAAAACCTTTGATCGGGTAAAAGTTGTCAACATTTTTTTTCTTCAAAGACCTTTGCCCGATGAAAATAGGTCGACGAGTAAAATAACAGTAGTCGGGCAAAGTATTCGCGCCAAGGGAAAAAATATTGATGTGTAATATGCCACCTTTTGTGTGACGAATCCTTCTAGTTTTGTCAGGCAAAGGTATATTTTCATTTGTTTGTGAATGTTTAGTTTCAATGAGGCAACATGTTATGGCTACATTGCACATTGATTTGTAGTGTGTGAAACAGACTTGATACTTTATGCCTACTTTTGAATTGAATATAATGTTTTACAGAAAATATTCTGTTCATCATAGAATGTGAGGGGGAAATAATTTAATGATATTGACAGAAAAAAATCGAGTAATGTTAAGTTGCTTAAATTTTTTAAATTAAATTTGAAAACTATGTAATGTGTTATTAATAGAAAATATATACAGTAGTCAATATTTAAATAATAATATCATCATCATCAACCACGTCAATAACATATAAAATTTATTCTAAATTGTTGATCTACTTAACATTGCCCGGAAAAAATATCCTGTACCAGATTAAATTCGATTAAAAAAAAATAAAATATGAAGGCAGCATGTTCTATGTGGATCCCATGAGGATTATAGATCTGATTTAATTTTGCACATGGCGCTGGAGAACAAGTCCAAACTCCCACGTGGTATAGCACGTGACCGAGGCCAAGAAAAAGAAATAATATTAAACATAATTAATTCTTCGCTGTCTGTATCCAAATAAAGATACAAAATAAACTCACAGGAAATTAAAACACAAAACAACAAACAAGCAACTTAGACAAGAGCCAAGTCAGGTAACATATCTAACATACTTCTGCAAATCCCCTTGCAGGTTAAACTAGTCTGCACTACCAATCTACCGACTCTCCTCCGTAAGCAGATTTCGAGCCAGGAAGAAATACATCGGTGTGAAAATCTCTTTCCTGAAAGACATTCATTAGGATAATCAATGTAGTAGCTAATATATGCATGCTTCTAGAGCGAAATCAGAGTTTTAGCTTAAATAGGCATTCGTCGTTCTAGTCCAACTCTATATTTATGGAGTCAGGGCGGCCTGTCAATTCGTGTTTGATTCACAGAACAAGATGACACATATTTGAGAAAACTTACTTTTGCCCAATGAGGTGGATGAAGGTTCAGAAGAGAGAAACACGCTGAAAAGAAAGAACACTTACTTTTCCCCTTCGACTAGCCCTACAGCTGCTTTCTCCAGAAAATCTTGAACTCTTTGGCTTCCTGCTGGTGCAAGTCCAGTATATTCTAAAACCTTGACCTACAAAAAATAAAATTTAAATATATAAGTCAGGCACTAATCCCTGTGCTTAGTGTATTTAGCACAGGAGTAGTCAATATTCCACAACGCATCATAAGAAAGTGGCTCAACAATTCATTGAATGACCACCATATTCATGCTCTTACCAAGTTTCTGGTAACAAATCGCCCAGCAGCAGTTAGACGAAAGCTACTCAGTGAAATCCGACTTTTGTCCAAAGGCAGGTACCATGGAAGAGGTGAATCCACCGCAAGATCTTTCTCCCATATGACCTATGCTCACAATGAAAAGAAAATATTAAGTCAATCTCTTTTCTCTTGCATAGATTTCAAAAAGAAGTAAAAACCTCCTACTGACCTCAAAACCTGCTTGTTTCAAAGCTTCAAGACACTTTCCTGTCAATCTGATGTCCGGTGTAAATGTAACTAAATCTATGAAATTGTATACAGAAATTCTAGACAGAGATAACAATTCAGAGAGAAGAGAGAGAGAATGAATGTTCTTGATATATTTCTTAATCACCAAGTAATACAAGAGGTTGAGATATTTAGACACTTCTAACAACAAGGCTAACTGCCTTAACTAACCCATCTTCTAATCTAATTACACATGTCATCATCCTATACATCAATCTATACTCTATCATCCCCCCGCAAACTCACGCTGGGAGGCACGAAGCATGAGATTGGAACAGTGAATATGGAATAAAGGAGAACTCAAGCCTTTAGTCAAAATGTCAGCAAACTGCTCTTTGGACGACACAAACTGCACAGAGAGTTGCTTCTTTGCCACTCGTTCCCGCACAAAATGAACATCAATCTCAATGTGTTTAGTGCGTTGATGTTGAACAGGATTAAAAGACAACGCAATGGCAGACAGATTATCACAAAACAACACAGGTGGGGAGGATAAAGGAACCTGCAAGAATACTAAGAGTTGCTGGATCCAGTCCAATTCTGCAGATGTGGAGGACAGGGCACGATATTCGGCCTCTAGAAGACCGGGATACTGTCAGTTGCTTCTTGGATGACCAGGAAATAGGACTATTCCCTAAAAACATAACCAAGCCAGTAGTCGACCGGCGGTCATTAGGATCCTCTGCCTAGTCAGCATCACTGAAGGCCTTTAATTGAAGTGAGCCGCGAGAATAACTAATGCCATGACTAATGGTTCCTTTTAGGTACCGCAAGATTCGTTTGACTGCTGTAAAGTGAGCAACCATAGGGGATTGCATGAACTGAGCCACTTGATGGACAAAGAATGCTATATCCGGCCTTGTAAACGTAAGGTACTGCAAAGCACCTACCACACTTCTGTACAAAGTGGGATTGGTATATGGATCACCATCATCCTTGAGAAGCCTGGTATACGGCAAACAAGGAGTGTCACAAGGTTTTGCATCGAGCATCTCTGTTTTGGTGAGAAGATCCAACACATATTTCGATTAAGACAAGAATAAACCAGTGGCAGTCCGTGAAATTTGAATGCCAAGAAAATAATGCAAATCCCCTAAATCCTTGATGTCAAACTCAGTGTGTAAAGCAGTAATAACCTGTTGCATGGATGCAGATGCACTCCCTGTGATGATAATATCATCCACATAGAGGAGAAGAATGACAATACCAGAATCAACCGTTTTGACAAACAAAGAGGAATTCGAATAAGTGGTTTGAAACCCCAAATGAGGCAGGAATTTGGTGAATCTATCATTCCAAGCTCGGGGAGCTTGCTTAAGTCCATATAAAGATTTCTGCAGTTTGCAAACTAGGTGAGGATGATGAACATCTTCAAACGTAGGAGGCTGAGCCATGTACACTTCGTCTTCTAAAATGCCATGTAAAAAGGCATTTTTGACATCGAGTTGTCGAAGGGACCAACCAAACTGAGCTGCAAGAACCAATACTAACCGAACAGTGGTAGGTTTAACCACAGGACTGAACATTTCCCCATAGTCAATTCCAGGTTCTTGACTGAAACCTTTAGCTACTAATCGAGCTTTATGTCGGGCAATAGTACCATCAGAATGTCTCTTGATTTTGAAGATCCACTTGCACCCCACCAAATTCTTTGAGGAAGGTAAGACCACCAGATTCCAGGTACCTTGTGTATGCAAAGCACTAATTTCCTCTTGCATAGCCTTAAACCAAATTGGATTCTTAAGGGCAGATTTGTAGGAAGTTGGTTCAATAAGAGACAAATCAGTACCCTCAGCCTCCTGAACAGTAGCTAATAAAACTCTTTTCTTTATAATTCCACTCTTGCTCCGAGTTTGCATAGGATGCAAATTAATGGGTGGAACCTCGAGTACCACTGACAAAGTATCAGGATGAAATTGTACTTCTGGAACTTGAGACTGAGGAGAACCATTGACAAGTGCCACAGGAGGTGGAGAAGTAGTAGAGGCAGTAATGGACTGAGAGGATAGTGGTGATGATGTAATCGGAGAGAGGGATATGGTAGGAGAACCAGGCAAATTGGAAGAGACAGAATGTGATTGTGATGTTATGGGGACAGTAGGTATAGGGACCACAACATTATCAGTGGAAACAACAGGTACTGGACTGTGGGTGGTAGAACTAAGGTGTGATGAGGTATGACGGACCAACAAGTCTGTGTATGGGAATTGAGACTGATCAAATACTACATGCCGTGATATGTATAGTCGTTGTTTAGAAACCTCATAACATATATACCCTTTATAGTTGGTAGCATACCCCAAGAAAATACACTTGGTGGTTTTTGGTTGTAGCTTAGAGTCATTATAAGGCCTTAATAATGGATAACAAGCACAACCAAATGATCTAAGATGGGAAATGACAGGGAGAAGCCCAAACAATAGTTCAAATGGAGAATGATTGCCTAGGACAGGAGTGGGCATTCTATTGATGAGGTAGATGGCTGTTTGACAAGCATAGGACCAAAACATGGCAGGTAATCTAGCAGTTTGTAAAAGGGTCACTGTTGTTTCAATGATATGCCGATGATTTCTCTCAGCTAGGCCATTTTGCTCCGGAATATATGGATAGGATTTATGATGTGTAATGCCTTTTTCAAGAAGAAATGACTGAAATGCTTTACTAACATACTCTCCCCCTCCATCACTTTGAAGAGTTTGAATAGAGGTTGCAAATTGAGTAATAACAAAGGAATAGAATGCAACAAATTTGGCAAAGACATCAGATTTATTTATTAATGGGAAAATCCAGCAGTATCGTGTACACTCATCAATAAATGTCACATAATACTTGTAACCATCAATAGAAACAGAAGGGGCTGGACCCCAAAGGTCACTGTGAACTATTGCAAAGGGTTTTACAGACTTATGTGGACTGAGAGGAAAAGGAAGTTTACAAAACTTCCCCTCCAAACAACTAGAACACATGACATGTAAGGATAGTTTGGGACAGGGAATATGAGCTTGTTTTAACATCAAAGAAACAATAGAATTGGATGGATGACCTAGTCTATGATGCCAAGTAGTAGAGTGAATGTGCTGATCGAGAAGAGCTTTAGCTTGGAACGGTACTTAATTGGATCCATGAGAAGTGGTTGAAAGACAGGGAATCGGGTATAGACCATTACTGCATACTCCTTTGTAAATGATCCTCCCTGTGGCCTTGTCCTGAATCCAGAAGCAAAAAGCATAAAAAATTAGCCAGCAATTGTTATCCAAACAGATCCGGTGCACAGACAATAAGTTTTGGGTTAACTTCGGAACATATAACACAGAATTGAGCTTCATTGGAGGAACAGAATTAACTGTGGAAAGATTAAGAACAGTGCTGCCAATATGAGATATAGGCAAACCTTCACCATTGGCAGTTTGTACAATTTCAGAGGTAGGATATGGAGATGCCAGAGATAAGTTGCTGAGATCAGAAGTCATGTGATTGATAGCACCAGAGTCAGTGATCCACACTTGAGGATTAGAGTGAGAAGGAGATGCCACGGAAGGAGACTGAGGCATCACAGTATGCATAGCTTGAGGAGAGAATTGGTGTCCATTCATGGCAGATGGCTGACTAGAAACATTGTACCCGGGAGCACCAAAGTTTGAGGAATGCAGCTGAGACGGATAAAACTGACTGGGAGCACCAACAAAATTAGGGCCTTTGTCATTAAAAAAACAATACCATGTGGTGTGATTGTGCTTGCCACAGATTTGACAATTAACTTTGTCAGAAGATTTAGAACGGCAGAATGGGGCTGTGTGTCCTTCAGCATTACAAAGTTGACAGGTTTGCACCAAGGAAGCACTTGAATGGCCATAAGACTGCACTGGGGAGTGACCAAGGATGCCCGGATTCGGTGTGGGTAACACATGTGTTTGAGTGGAAAAAGACGGTTTGGGTGGATAAGACCGAAACTCTTGATTAAACTTGCCTTTTCCTTTGTTTCTGTTGCCATTGAATGGCTTATAACCACCAGAGAAGAACTGAGACTGACCAGAAGCACCATTTCCGGACCTTTAATGACACACCGAAAAGTATTATATTCAGAGGGTAAGCCATTGAGAGCAAGGATAACAATATCTTCATCAGCAAAATGAACTCCAGCAGCAGATAAGTAATCCCGAGCCTCTTTTATCCTATGAAGATACTGGGACACCGAATCAGAACCCTTCTTAATAGTTTGGAGATTAGATTTCATTTGAAAGATGCTAGTCTTAGACACAGTAGAGAATGTTCTTTCAAACGAATCCATACATCCTGAGAACTCTTACTACCAATAGCACAAGATAGAGCCACAGGCGAAAGGGTAGCAGTTAGCAGTTGCATTACAGCCTTATCATGCATTTTCCAAATCATAAACTCATCCATTGCAACAGAAGCATTTGAGCTAGAGTTCATACCAGAGCCACCAGATTGATCGGAAAATTGAGGAGGACAGGGATGTGAGCCATCAACAAACCCCATAATTCCATTGCTCTCCAACAAGAGTTGTATCTGAAAATGCCAATTAAGATAGTTGGAGTCATCCAATTTGACATTCACCGAAGTCGAAATGGAGGAGATTAGTGCAGTAATCGGGGATTGCACAATTTGAAGTTGCAAGGCAGTCACCATTGAAATTGCTTCAGACAAACTCAGTGAGAACTTTTAGCAAACAGGTGGAATGCACTGACCAAAAAAGCAGAAGAAATGATTGACGCAGGAAGACGATCAACCAAGAAACACAAAAGAAAAACCCTAGAAATCAGGATTTCGAGAAGACGAAGAGAATTGAAGATACCGAAGACAAAGTCCGAGAACAAATACACCGTCGAGGCGAGCGGACGCAGAGACGAAGAATCGAAGATCAAGCGCAAGCAACAAAGGCAAGTGATACCATGTAAATGTAACTAAATCTATGAAATTGTATACAGAAATTCTAGAGAGAGATAACAATTCAGAGAGAAGAGAGAGAGAATGAATGTTCTTGATATATTTCTTAATCACCAAGTAATACAAGAGGTTGAGATATTTATACACTTCTAACAACAAGGCTAACTGCCTTAACTAACCCATCTTCTAACCTAATTACACATGTCATCATCCTATACATCAATCTATACTCTATCATCCGGAAGGCCATCACCAATCTCAATTTCTGCCTGTGGCAATGAAGTTCTTTTATATATATATATATATATATATATATTCACAATCTAGAAATCGTTCAAAAGTAAATCAAGTATCTATCAACAGCTCAATTTTATGCTTTTGGTTTCTCTTACCTTGATTTTTTGATGTTCTTGGTTATCGGGATCAAATGCATCAGTCATGCACCACTCATATGCATGACCGGGTCTTAATACTCTGTAAATCTCCTTGTAGCACCCATACTATCCAGGACAGATGGAAACGTTAAGCCAACAGAAACTAAGTGGAAGATAATGATGAACTAACTAAACGAGCCCAAAGGTTTCCAGCCACAAGAATGACTTACTGCATCTGGTGCATGGCATGTCGCTTCAATTGCATATACCGCATCAAATGAATTATCAGGGAAAGGTAGTTTCATGAAGTCAGCCTCCATTTATAAAGTGCAAAGAATGAGATCTATAACATAAACCAGTTCTCTCCACATTCTCCCATGTATTACTGCAAGAAAGGAAAAAAAAGGTACTTTCTACGTTGAACAAGAACATCATATACAATGCTAACAACCTTAACAAAGTTGCAGGTCTTGTCCACTCCTACAATACGGTTTAGTTCCTACAGAGCAAACAAAAGCATGATAGTACTAGCCCGCTTTGAAATTGAAGTATTCCAGTGGTCATTCTAATATAAATAAATAAATCATTTAGGCTTTCATAATTTTCAATTGGAAAAAAGGATTCTTGAGAAACCATCAAGACTGGCCATTGATTATGTTCATTATTCAAAACAAATCATTACCACGATACATAGGTTTATCCACCTTTCCTCTTGTGATCTGATACTCGTTGTTCAACCCAGTAATTGATGCTGAGCTGCACAAACCACCACAGAAAATCTTTGTGAACATAGAGATTCTTATTGAACAATTAAATCACTAAACTCTAAATTTTAGACTTGACATCAGCATAACAAGTACAGATCACAATGGTATCATCTTACATATTGAATAAACCATACGCATAATAGGAGGTCTTCCAAAAAGGTGTTTTCAGTCTAACCCAGCGGTAAATTTAATATTCACAAGAACTAAAACAAGCTATAAAATTCATCGTCGGTAAATTTAATATGCCACTTCGTATTCAAATATTACAGCCACGAGAAGGCTGTCCACCAACTAAAACCTGAATAAAAGAAACGGCACTCACCTGAAGCGAGAAATTTCTCTCAGTGCTCCATGACACGCCCCGACCCTGATATTTCCCGAATACCAGGACAAACATGTGCTGGCCGACACCCGAGGGTGACGAAAGCCATTAATTGATACAAAGGCTAAAGAATAAGAAGAAAATAAGAGTTAGAAATTTAAATACAATGAGTTAATAATTTAGGAACGTGTTCAGAGCATATAACTAAATCTAGTCACTAACAAGAAATAAGATAAAATTGAATGAATAAAGAAGTGGGTCCTACCCCGAGAGGATTTGAAGATGCTACTGCGGAAGTGTCTTGACGCTGGGATTAGGTGCCTTGATCCTAAGTCCTGAATGGGGACGCAAAACAAGGTGAGCGGATCAAGTTTATATATATAATAATAATAAAACAGTTATCAACATACTAACCCCCACAATTTATATAAATAAAGAAACTACTAACATAATAAGTGATAGCTTTTTAGAAACACTAGCATGCCATAAAACATCTCAAGAGGTATAACGCGGAAAACATCACAAAAGATACATCGCGTAAATCATCTCGTGAATCGTCTCGTAAGCGCTGTGTGCTGCTAGTAAGATCACTAAATAATAATAACTCCCGGCCCAATGCCTGCACCTAAGTCTCTGTGCCTGTAGCCAGAGATAACTCCCTCCCGGCCCAATGCCTGTCTCCGTATCCCTCAGCCTTTCGCTAGGGATTATTTCTCCTGGCCTATCTGCCAACACCCGATCCTCGCCCCAGGCGGCATAGTGTCCACTAGGTACGCACAAATAGTACGTCTCTCAAAAATAACCATTTAATAGTATAAAGTCATCCATCATCTATACTATAAAGAGGGGTTTCGAAAACATGTTCTAGCATCTTATCGTCATCCATCAGATAGTCTACCAATTCATGGTTTTTATAGAAAATACGATTTATTAAAATATAGCTCAATATAGGCCAACAATTAATTCCTCACAAAAAACACGAGACGAAAATCAACATATTCAATAAACATGCTTAACATAAAATCAAAACATAAACTCGTAAGGCATGCTATTCATTTATGCAATTGAACTATAAAATCATGTAATTTTAGAAGGGGTCCACTCACAGTACTTATCCGCCAAAAACTACGCCACTAGCGAAGACGGAAGCGTCACAATAATTGCCCCTAAGCACATAAATAGCACATTTAGTCAAACTCTACTTAAACGATTGAATTTGGGAAAACGGACATTGGAAATGGGTTTAGGACGTCGAATTACCCTAAGAAGGGTCCCGGACGAAAACCCGAAAAGTCAACGTTGACTAGGGATCAACGGTTAAAATAGGTCAAACGGGTTTTAGGCTTGAATCCGGATTAGGGTTTAGGTTAAATAGGATTAGGATATATTGGGTTTTAGGTTTAGGGTCCTAAGGTTTTTGGTTAAAAAGGGTTAGGGTGAAAAGGGGTGGTTTGGGCTTAGGCTCAAACCCACACACACATACCCACGGCACACAACACACACAACACACTCACGGCACACAACACACACAACACACTCACGGCCTAAAGGCCTCACAACCAAAAGGGTTGGGCTCGGCAGGGAAGGCCCAAAGGCCTTGGGTTTGGTGGGTCGCCGGACCCAATGGGAGAGAAAGCCGGAAACTGCACAACCTTTAAACGGCCATAACTTTGTCAAAACTCAATGAAATCAAGTGATTAAAAAAGGAATGTTGTAGCCCTTGAAGAGACGAAGAGAATGGTACCTCACAAGATGTCTAACTCGCCGTGTTTTTGCTGGAAAATGCCTCGAAAGCTGTCGAACTCGCTGGAAACTGGGTAAGATTCAAATGAGTATAACTTTTTCAATACTCAACGAAATTGGGTGAAACAAAAAGAAAAGTTGTAGTTCTCAGCGAGACGAAGAGATTGATACCTTGCACGCCAGCCAACTCTTCGTGGTTTGGCCGGAAATTGTCTTGAAAGTGGCGGTCTGCGTCAGAGCTCGTGTACAGGGCTTCATGGTTCGACTTCCAAGATGCCAAGACTATGGTTGAGTTCGTAGCGACGAAATAAAGACGATGGTGATGTTTGTTGGTAAGAAAAGCCCTCGGAGGGGTTGAGATAGAGAGAGCCGAGAGAGTGTAAGGGAGAGTGAGGGAGAAGAGAGAAAGAGGAAGACTTTTCAGAAAAATAAAAGAAAAAGGAAAAGGAACCGGGGGACAAAACAGGGGGTGGGCCCCTTGGGCACACCATTTAAGACCCAAAAATCATTTTAAAAGCAAGATAATCTCAAACTTAGTGAAAATACAATTTAAATTAGGGGTGGGTGTAACAATCTACCCCCTTAAAAGAATTTCGTCCCCGAAATTTAAAATAACATACTACATTGAAAATACTCGAAAATAGGAAAAAGAATAATATACATATATGTAACGAAGAGATCAGGTAAGAACGGTTGAACAAAAGGGAAAATGCCACACCGTCGCGATCGGTTGCAATGATTTCATCTTTCGTCCTTCCAGGCTCATACTTTCTTTCCCCATCAGTGTAATAGTAGAAATCATACTTTATAAAGATATAAAGTTGAAAACATATATTGAAGTAAGGTCAAAAATGAGTACGCAAAATACTATAGCGTCAAAAATAGACACGCCCCGACCTTGATATTCCCCGAATACCAGGATAGACACGTGCTGGCCGATACCCGAGGGTGACGAAAGCCATTAATTGATACAAAAGCTAAGAATAAGAAATAAATAAGGGTTATGAGTTTAAAATACAATGAATTAAAAATTTAGGAATGTGTTCAGAGCATACAACTAACTAAAGTTTTAAAAGAATTAATATAAGATTTAATAAATAACGGATGTGGGTCCTATACCGAGAGGACTCGAATATGCCAAAGCGAAGACGTTGACGTAGGGATCGTATGCCTCGATTCTAAATCCTGAAAGGGGGCGCAAAACAAGGGTGAGTGGACCAAGTTCATATATATATACATAAAACGAAAATAGTTATGAACATACTAACCCCCATGTTTATATATAATGAAAACTACTAACATAATAAGTGATAGATTTAATAAAAATCCTAGCATGCCAAAAATATCTCAAAAGTCATATCGCGGAAATAAAAACGGTAAACGTGTCATAGATCGTCTCGTAAGCGCGGTGTGCTGCTAGTAAGATCACTGAATAATAATAATAACTTCCGGCCCAATGCCTACACCTAACTCTCTGTGCCCGTAGCCAGAGATAACTCCCTCCCGGCCCAATGCCTCTCTCCGTGTCCCTCAGCCTTTCGCTAGGGATTATCTCTCCCGGCTTAACTGCCAACACCAAATCCTCGCCCCAGGCGTCATAGTGTCCACTAGGTACGCACAAATGGTTACGCCTCTCATAAATAACCACTTCATAGTATAAAGTCATCCATCGTCTATACTATAAAGAGGGGTTTCGAAAACATGTTCTAGCATCCTATCGTCATCCATCAGATAGTCTACCAATTCATGGTTTTTATAGAAAATACGATATATTAAAATATAGCTCAATATAGGCTAACAATTAATTTCTCACCAAAAACACGGGACGAAAATCAACATATTCAATAAACATGCTTAACATAAAATCAAAACATAAACTCGTAAGGCATGCTATTCATTTATGCAATTGAACTATAAAATCATGTAATGTCAAATGTCAAAAAAAAACTGCGCCACTAGCGAAGACGGAAGTGTCACAACCAACGTTTACTTGTTTTCTCCAACATGCATGTCAAATGTCTTAAGTAGTTTCCACATAGATGTGACCTTGCTCGCCATTCCTAGGTAACGCATGTCACAGAGTGACACCATCGATTCAGATTTCTAGTTGGTCTTGACCAACTCGTACCACGAAGATTTTTTGTTTCCCAGCATTCTAATGTAGATTCGATTCCACTCGAAATTCCTTGGAAAACATATTGTAGAGTATCGATTCGATGTCGAAAGTCGTCCAACAAACCAATTCGTCACCTATGAGGCATAATCCTGACACGAGTTCTTGTATTTCAACCAGAAGGTGACAATTCAAACAGAGAAATATTTGCAAAATTGCGCTGAAAGACAGCAATTTCGGAAGTCGTGGCATCCAAATAATTTCATAACCAACACAAAACTAGAATTTAATAGGATCCTAAGTATGCTCTGAACAAACCTCGCTCTGATACCAATCTGACATGCCCCGACCCTGATATTCCCCGAATACCAGGATAGACACGTGCTGGCCGACACCCGAGGGTGACGAAAGCCATTAATTGATACAAATGCTAAAGAATAAGAAGAAAATAAGAGTTAGAAATTTAAATACAATGAGTTAATAATTTAGAAACGTGTTCGGAGCATACAACTAAATCTAGTCACTAACAAGAATTAAGATAAAATTGAATGAATAAAGAAGTGGGTTCTACCCCGAGAGGATTTGAAGATGCTATTGCGGAAGTGTCTTGACGCCGGGATTAGGTGCCTTGATCCTAAGTCCTGAATGGGGGCGCAAAACAAAGGTGAGTGGACCAAATTTATATATATAATAATAAAACAGTTATCAACATACTAACCCCTATAGTTTATATAAATGAAGAAACTATGAACATAATAAGTGATAGCTTTTTAGAAACACTAGCATGCCATAAAACATCTCAAGATGTATAACGCGGAAAACGTCACAAAAGATACATCGCGTAAATCATCTCGTGAATCGTCTCGTAAGCGCGGTGTGCTGCTAGTAAGATCACTGAATAATAATAACTCCCGGCCCAATGCCTGCACCTAAGTCTCTATGGCCGTAGCCAGAGATAACTCCCTCCCGGCCTAATGCCTGTCTCCGTGTCCCTCATCCTTTCGCTAGGGATTATTTCTCCTGGCCTATCTGCCAACACCAGATCCTCGCCCCAGGCGGCATAGTGTCCACTAGGTACGCACAAATAATTACGTCTCTAAAAAATAACCACTTCATAGTATAAAGTCATCAATCATCTATACGATAAAGATGGGTTTCGAAAACATGTTCTAGCATCCTATCGTCATCCATCAGATAGTCTACCAGTTCATGGTTTTTATAGAAAATACAATATATTAAAATATAGCTCAATATAGGCCAACAATTAATTCCTCACTAAACACACGAGACGAAAATCAACATATTCAATAAACATACTTAACATAAAATCAAAACATAAACTCGTAAGGCATGTTATTTATTTATACAATTGAACTATAAAAGCATGTAATTTTAGAAGGGGTACACTCACAGTACTTATCCGCCAAAAACTGCGCCACTAGCGAAGACCGAAGCGTCACAATAATTGCCCATAAGCACATAAATAGCACATTTAGTCTAACTCTACTTAAACGATTGAATTTGGGAAAACGAACATTGGAAATGGGTCGAGGACGTTGAATTACCCTAAGAAGGTCCCGGACGAAAACCCAAAAAGTCAACCCTAAAGTTAAAGTTGACCAGGGGTCAACGGTCAAACTAGGTCAAACGGGTTTTAGGCTTGAATCCGGATTAGGGTTTAGGTTAAATAGGATTAGGATCTATTGGGTTTTGGGTTTAGGGTCCTAAGGTTTTTGGTTAAAAAGGGTTAGGGTGAAAAGGGGTGGTTTGGGCTTAGGCCCAAACCCACACACACACACACACTCATGACACACAACACACACAACACACACAACACACTCACGGCCCAAAGGCCTCACAACCAAAAGGGTTGGGCTCGGCAGGGAAGGCCCAAAGGCCTTGGGTTTGGTGGGTCGATGGACCCAATGGGAGAGAAAGCCGGAAATCGGTCGGAAACTGCACAACCTTTAAACTATCATAACTTTGTCAAAACTCAACGAAATTAAGTAATTTAAAAACAAAAGTTGTAGCCCTCGAAGAGACGAAGAGAATGGTACTTCAAATGACATCTAATTCGCCATGGTGTGGCCGGAAAACGCCTTGAAAGCTGTCGGACTCGTCGAAAACTGGGTAAGATTCAAATGAGTATAACTTCTTCAATACTCAACGAAATTGGGTGAAACAAAAAGGAAAGTTATAGTTCTCAGCGAGACGAAGGGATTGATATCTTACACACTGGCCAACTCGCAATGGTTTGGCCAGAAACTGTCTCGAAAGTGGCGGTTTGCGTCGGAGCTCGTGTACAGGGCTTCATGGTTCGACTTCCAAGATGCCAAAACTATGGTCGAGTTCGTAGCGACGAGATAAAGATGATGGTGATGTTTGTTGGTAAGAAAAGCCCTCGGAGGGGTTGAGATAAAGAGAGCCGAGAGAGTGTAAGGGAGAGTGAGGGAGAAGAGAGAAAGAGGAAGACTTTTCAGAAAAATAAAAGAAAAATGAAAGGGAACCGGGGGACAAAACAAGGGGTGGGCCCCTTAGGCACACCATTTAAGACCCAAAAATCATTTTAGAAGCAAGATAATCTCAAACTTAGTGAAAATACAATTTAAATTAGGGGTGGGTATAACAGTCCACCAATTCCACAACCTACATCCAAAACCCAAAACAAAAAATACAAAAACCTAAGTCAATAATTTGAAATTTTGAACCAAATCATAAAAGAATCTATCTAGCTAATCTATATTCCATAAAGTCTAATTTGAAAGACTAAGGTCATCTCCAACCGAAGGGTCTAGAGGGCCAGAGGGCCGAAAATAACCCTAAAACCGTCTCCAACCAAGGGCTAGGCTAGAGGGCTCGGGAATCTGGGAGGGCCCCACGGAATTGGAGAGGGCTGGAGGGCTGGCTATTTTTTTTTATATAGTTTTCCTATTGCTGTCGGTTATAACCAATAGTAATAGGTATTCATAGGTAAAAAAAAAATTTATTTACTATTAGTGTCGGTTATAACCGACACTAATAGTTTGAATTTTTTTTGAATATAACGGCTAGCTGCAAAGCTAGCCGTTGGGTTTTTTTTTTTTTTTTAATTTAAACATTTCTTTTCTTCTATAAATATGGTGAAGTTCTTTCAATTCTTCACTTCATTTGCAATATTTCCTTCTTCAATATTTTTCAATATTTCCTTCTTCAATATTTCTCAATATTTCCTTCAATATTTCCTTCAATATATTTTCCAATATTTCCTTCATCTATAATATTTGTTTCAAATTTTCAATAATTTCCTTCAATATTTTTTCAATAATTTCCTTCATTTTTTTTCCTATAACTTATATTTCACAAAATTTGTTTCATATTTTTTTTAAATTCCATTTTTTTATAGCTTCTATTTCACAAATTTGATTCATATTTTTTTTAAATTCTATTTTTTTTTTCCTATAACTTCCTAAGCCATTATACAACATTAAACAATATGAAACAACATTTAAGTTGTAGTTTTAATAATAAATTATGTTTGGCCCTATGACCCTTTGGCCCTCGGTTGGAGACGGTTTTTTGTGAAAGGGCTAAAATGAGCCCTCTGGCCCTCGGTTGGAGATGGAGGCAAATATGGCCCTGTACTGTTCATTAAAATATTAATATCTTTGAGGCCCAAATGGCTAAAACAAGCTCTCTGGCCAGCCATCGGTTGGAGATAGCCTAACTTTCTGCCCATGTTTGAGTCCTAGTTGTAAAGCAAGGAAGTGTTCATGTCGCTTGATACTCTCTTGAAGAGACTCCCCATTCCATCTGCAAGAGAGCAATACATCCATCAGAAACTCTTATGAAAGATACATTTTTCATTGCTTGCATGTGAAGATACGAAGAAAAAAGAGGAACCTGGGTGCAAAGTGGAAAGACTCTCCCCAACCATACTCATAAAAGCTTGTAACAAGATCATAGTATTTATTAACCTGAAATCCCAATGAACCAATTTAGTGAAGTAGGACATCCCAAGCTTGAACCGAAATGTCATCAGATTAAATTGACAACAATGAGCCATTAAATCTTTATAATCAAAAGACACTGCAAAGGTCAACTTTCCCATATAGACATAATACAATGTATCTTAATTATCGTAAAAGTTAATTTCTCGTGCAAAATGCAAAATTAACCACATAACTTGCCATTATCTTGAGTCTTATCACATGAATTAGGTGATATTATAAGACAACAAAGAAGCCTATGAGGGTCGTGGGGATGAGGATTTGTGGAAGATTATATATATATATATATATATATATATATCGGGGAGCTTAAGGGGAGGGATCCCCATTTTTTCAAAAAAAATAGGGAGCCTTCTCCTGACCATTGGATGAAATGAGTGGTTGAGATTAAATGGGGATCCTCATCTTTCTTTTTCCTTTTTCTTTTCTGGTTCTCGCCTCTTCCGTGCGACACAGGCGCACATCATCTCCCATGAACAGAGCGCAATACCAGCCAAATCACAGGCCATCGCGAATAACCTTTGAGATTTCAGAGATTTCAGGTATGGGTCTCCTCCTCATTCACTATTTTAGATGATTAATTTGGATTTGGATTGAACAAATGGGGTTTTTTCTGGTTCTCTCCTCTCCCACGAACAGAGAAGCAGTTGTGTTTCGGCGTGCGTTAGTCGATCATACTTAAAACTCACAAAATTCTAATCGAATACCCTCTAATTGAAAAGGAACTCTTCATTAACAACTAAGGAGCCAAGTTTATCCTTTTTAGTAATCATGTGGGTTTTTCTAGTTAAAGTAAATAGAAATTGTGAGAAGAATGGGCAAACATGGAGGCTGGAAGAGTTGACCTCGCAGGTGGGCAGCCTGTGAGAGCAGCTAAGAAGACAAATTGAAATAAATTGAAAAGGAACTCTTTATTAACGATATATGACGTTGTAATAATTGGGATTGTCTTGGAAACCCACTAAAGAAAACTGACCTTGAAGAGGTTTATCGCCTTGGAAAAGCATGTTACTCACATAGACAGTTCACTGAAAATCGAGAGGCAGTGGACGAGATAGAAAATAGAAATTCTGGATGGTTTTTGAGTTCTAATTCAACTTGGTTACAGATTTTTCTTGAATAATTTGAGTTTTGTTCTTCTTTTCAAGTTTTGTTGATGCTTTTTATTATTCTTTTTGGTGTGGATGTCTGATTGTGCTAATGTTCATGTTCAAGTTATGGAAGCTAATGAGATGACTATTGAAGTTTCGGGAACTGATGAAATGCCGATTCAAGTTATGGAAGCTATGGAAGCTAATGAGATGACTATTGAAGTTACGGGAACTAATGAAATGCTTGTTCAAGTTATGGAAGCTAATGAAATGCAAGTTCCAATGGAAAATCAGTCAGAAATTATAGCTGGTATTTGTTTTTTCTATCCTCAAGCAACAGATGAGTTCAAGCCTACCATAGGTCAACGTTTTGAAACATTAGACGAAGTGCTTGAATTTTACAACAACTATGCAAGGGAGGCTGGGTTTAGTGTCCGAATGCATTCAAGTAAGAAAAAATAAGGATGGTGAGATCACGAGAAAGGAGTTTGTGTGCAACAAAGAGGGAAGTAATACAAAAGAATGGATTGTGACGAACAAAAGCGTCGTGGATTAACCAAAGAGGGTTGTAAAGCAAGATTGATAGTTGTGAGATTTAAACTTGGTGGGTATGCAATCACCATATTTGACGAGGGTCATAATCATCCAATGACATCCCCACGAAGACGCCACTTGCTAAAGTCTCATCGCAAGGTTACTAAGTGTCATAAAATATTAGCTGATCAGCTAGACATGGCAAACATACCTCCACACAAACAATTTGACATTCTTGGATTGCAGGTAGGTGGAATTGAATATGTTGGTTGTACATAAGAAGATTTAAATAACTATCGAGGAAAAGTGTGAAACAAGATGAAGGGGCATGATGGAAAAATGTTGCATGATCATTTTTTGCTAAAGCAAGAAAGAAATTCTGAATTCACATTCAAGATTCAAGCAGATGAAGAACACAAGATTACTCAATGTTTTTGGGCCGATGCAAGTTCTAGGCAAGCATACAAGCTTTATGGTGATGTGGTCATTTTTGACACTACATACAATATCAACCGGTATAGTATGATATTTGCCCCATTCATGGGTATAAACAATCATGGTCAAACAATCGTTTTTGCTAGTGCCTTTCTAAGTGACGAGACGACATATTCATTTGTTTGGTTATTTAGAGAATTTTTGAATGCCATGCCTGGTGATGCTCCAAAAATGATTATTACTGATCAAGATCCGGCAATGACAAAAGCCATTCCTTACTGTTTTCCAACATGTTTCACAGATTCTGTACGTGGCATATTTTGGATAAGTTCTCGAGCAAGCTTCATGCGATGAAATACAGAGATCATTATTTAGATTTCAAAGCATGTATTTGGGAGTCAGAGACTAGAGAGGAGTTTCATGTGAAATGGATGGCCGTTGTTTCAAAAAGTGGATTATGTGGTAATGGTTGGTTGCAATCGATATATAGGATTCGATCTACTTGGGTTCCATCCTATGTGAATCATGTTTTTTTCTGCAAATTGCTCAACTAGTTAGAGAGCTGAGAGTGGACATTCATTTATAAAGAAATGTGTTTCCAAGAACAACTCCTTCCTTGAGTTTATGGTTAAATATAATAGGGCATTGGTACGCCAACGCCATTCTGAGTTGAAGGCAGATCATATTGGTTTGAACGAGAGGCCAAAACTCAAATGCCCTATTAAGATGGATGCGCAAATGGCCAATATTTATACACGTAGCTCTTACCTTGATTTTCAAGAGCAGTTGTGGGAAAGTTACAGCTATAATATTGAGCTTACAAGTGAAAATGATTCTTGCAGCATGTTTAAAGTTTTGCCCATTGATGACGAAAAGGGTAGAGTTCATGAAATTTTGTATGAAAAATCCAGAGATTTTGCATCATGTAGCTGCAAACAATTTGATAGTTCAGGAATCCCATGCAGCCATCTTTTGGCATATTTGCATAAAAGACGTTAATTTCAAATATTGTCGGATGAATACATTTTGAAGAGATGGACTAAATCTGCAAAATCTTCAGTTACGGTTTCTAATGTGGAGATATTTGTCGACAAATCCGTACTTGAAAGGCGTGGAAAATTATTCCAACAATATTCGCATTTGATTGATAAAGTCATTATAAATGATGAGGCAAGTAAACTCTTTTGTGAGGCGATGGATGCTGTGAATTAGAAGATTAAGCCATTGGTTGGTGGTACCAATGAAAATGTGGAACCTTCTGCAACCAAAGGAGATATGGAATGTCGTGCAAAAAGAAAATCGATAGTAGATGATGTTGGTTTTCTTGAACCTGATCCTATTAAGACCAAAGGATCTGGAAAAAGACTTAAAAGGGGAAAAAAGAAAGGAAAATGCAAGAAGAGGGTTAATGGTAACCTTTGTCATGGGTGTGGGCAATATGGAGTTAATCATGACAAAAGAAATTGTCCGGAGCTCCACAATCGGTAAGAATACATACTCCACGTGTTTTTCTATGTATATCGTGCAATTAATATATCAATAGTTGAAATGCGTTTGTTGTCTTTGATGTATAATAGCATTATTATTGTTAATCAACATTTTTATGATTTCTATTTTGGTTAATTGCAGGATGAGCAGCACTCATTGTATATAAGAAGCTGATCTCATTTTTTTGTTCCTAATTTGCATGGTGTTAATGAGGTTCCTCTGTTTTGCATAAGTTTATTCTATGAATTTGGAGGAATTGGCCATGAACTTGTAGGATGAGGAGCACTCATTGTCCATAGGAAGCTGATCTCATTTTTTTGTTCCTAATTTGCATGGTGTTATAATGAGGTTCCTTTGTTTTGCATAAGTTTATTCTATGAATTTGGAGGAATTGGCCATGAACTTGAAGGAATTCACGTATTTTGTATAACTTTATTTAGAAATTTATAGTTCAATGATAAAGAACAATAGCATACCAACTTTGGAGGCAACATGGAAGACATCAAATGGTTTTTTATTTATTTCATGAATATCAATCCAATTCTTTTATAGTGCTTCTCATACACAGTAAAAAACAATAACAATTTACAAAATGCCGATAAATAACTTTTGAGTCAACATGGAAGACATCCGCAACTTCTTTTTCATATTGCTGCTTGTTGCTAATTGCTAAAGCTTGAATTTTGCAACTTCCTTTTCATACTTTGCTTGTTGGTTGCTACTCATCAACTCAGCAACTCGAATAGGAAATTCATGATATGAGTGAGGCTTCCTTTTGTTAACCAATATATGAAAACAAGTCAAGCTTGACCAAGGCTCCTGTGATCTTGAAGTTTAGCTTCCTCTTTGAAATGAATAAATGCCTTCAATTGATCTTCACAATCGTCTTTGAGAGTTTTCTGATAAATTTGAATACGTATAATGCTTCATGACCTAAAACAGAACACCAGTTTGTCCATGGCACAGCTTTACCGTAAAATATATTAAAAAGAAAAAATGTACAGTTCTTCCACTTACCATTCCTGTGAACAATATTGACACAATACCAGACAGACCAAGACCTTCTGCAAGCGTGTAACTAAACAGATGATAGTTCTACGTCAATTTGCATATAAGGAGAAGGCCTTAAAACTAATTTACATAAGATGAAAAACGGCCAAGAAGATCACTCACGAGAAATATGAAAAGAGGACAAACAAACAGCACTCCAAGTTTTGAAGACTGAAAAGATACCAAGACAACCTTGTTATTTCCGGCGTAGTACCAACTAAACAAAGGCCATCAAAGAATGGAAGAAAAGAATCACTCATTTGTCAATATCCAACCCTCAATAGCAAGTCCTTACCAATCGGGGGCTTTCCTTGCAAAATCAAAACCCAAAAGGTTATAAGGTACCAAGTTCATACTCTATTATTTCAATCCATTCAAATCTGTAACCAATTTGAATTAGAACTCAAAAGGTCTTTACCCTAAAACCCGAGAGAAAACCACCAAATTTATGGACCCATTTGAAACCAGAACCATCCTGAATCAGAACGCAATAGGTTTTTGCTTTTAGAATTTGAAAAATATAAACCCCAATTGTTCAACCCAAATTCCAATCACCTAAAATAGTGAATGAGGAGGAGAACCATACCTGAAATCTCAAAGGTTAGAGGCGATGGCCTGTGATTTGGCTGGCGCGAAGCTCTGTTCTTGGGAGATATTTGTGTTGCAAGGGAGAGGAGAGAACCAGAAAAAAAAAACCCCAATTGTTCAATCCAAATCCAAATTAATCATCTAAAATAGTGAATGAGGAGGAGACCCATACCTGAAATCTCTGAAATCTCAAAGGTTATTCGCGATGGCCTGTGATTTGGCTGGTATTGCGCTCTGTTCGTGGGAGATGATGTGCGCCTGTGTCGCACAGAAGAGGCGGGAACCAGAAAAGAAAAAGGAAAAAGAAAGATGGGGATCCTCATTTAATCTCAACCACCCATTTCATCCAATGGTCAGGAGAAGGCTCCCCATTTTTTTGAAAAAATGGGGATCCCTCCCCTTAAGCTCCCCGTGTATATGTATATATATAATAACATATATATATGGTGAATAATATCATCGGGAAACAGAAAATTTTTCCCTGCGGTGATTCTGGTGAATAGTATAACCAACAGAGAAAATCACAATCCCTCGGAGATCAATGATCCCAAACAAGAAAATATAGTTGAAAAACAGAAAAAAAATTAAGACATTAAATCATAACCAAGAGGGAATAAAGTATGCAGCTTATTAGCACGAGAAGCTTGTATACTGACAATCCTCAGAAGACAAATGGTTGATACAAGAGTCTATCTTACCATGTCAGTGTAGTTGGACTTCCTCGCTTCCTCTTCCCCTCCATAACAGACATGATACTTCTCATACCTGAACCATTATTCAATAAACTGAGATTACAACCACATATGCCATAACATCTGCAAAAACTCGTTACAGAATTTCACACTACATCCCAAAACAATTTCAAGGAACTTTGCATTGCCATGTATGAGAAGAGTACATGTTTGGTTATAATTACATGTAATCATTTCACAAATTGAACAAACTAGCTTTCAAATTCTTGTTGTGTTACTGCACAAACAAAGGATCGGAAATTCAAGCCATGCAACTCAATGAAATGTAAAACGCTTATTGATTTAAATTCTATTCAATATTCTGGCATATTATCATCAAATTCGGTCAACATTCAAGTTAGCAAAATTGAAGATGAGAGCTTTGTAGCCATAATACAACTGCTCCCGAATGAGGACTTCAAAGCCATACTACAAATTTCCTTGAACTGGTTCTTTCCAAGAATTCCGAACTTTTCATCTCCTTTACATACATAATTCATAAGTGAAAATTCTAAACCCGCTGTATTTTTCATTTTATTTTCACTTAAAGGATAACATCCATTAATATAACAACAACAGATTCTTGCCCTGTGAATGCTATAAAGGCAGGTTAGTCCCCTGAAGAGCCATCCAATCTATTTCTTTCTGCCATCTCTCCCAATCCCACCACAAATGAATCTGCAAAAATATGTCATATCCCATACGTTATTAACTTTCCATTGCCACGATAAACATATCATCTAAAGTTAAAAGTATTACATTACACCTTTTTTTTTAATTGCAAATTATGTGTACTTTCTTCATTTCTTAATTTACTGTTCATCCTCTTATTTCTCTTTTGATTTTACTGTCAACTCATTGAGCTTGAGTCGTAAAACCAACCTCTGTGTAAACTAGTAAACATGGGTACGGTTGTGAACGTCTTACCCTCCAAAAATCCACATTAGCAGAACCGTGCACTCAGCTGCCTTTCTACACTCAACGAGATAAAGTACAACAATGTGTACACAACCTGATCGAAATGAAAGCAGATACAAAGAGTCAATACTTACAGCTGGATGTAACAACATTTTGATAATAGTTCCGCGGGACTGGTCGTTGAATCTGTACCCTTCAAGGAAACATGACCACTGCACCAGTACTTCAAATACCAGTGGAGGCCACAAGCAATTTCAACTGCTGTGGTGCCTTTAATCCTGAAACAGGGCTGCAATAATCATAAAATTACAATTGCAAATGGTTCCTCCTTAATTTCTTAGTCGTTGAGTTTTAAGCTATCAAGCTCTTCAGGTAAATTTATACTTGTATACTTGTAAGATAAACAATATATTCATATTGCCGAAGCAAGCAATTGAGAATATGACAGCTAAGGTGCCAATAGAAAATGAAAACATCTAGTCACAAAACGTTAATCCCATTAGTAACTGGTTTTGATATATCACATCTTCAATGGGACTAACTCTTGAAGAAAATTTATTTAAGCTACTTAAAGCACAAAGTCCCAAACAAATTTCAAGCAATTCTGAATCAATACTTAACAAATTTGCACAATGTTGGGAGCCAATCATTCCCTGTTGTCAAATTGCTATGATTTAGAATGTTAAAATGTTCGAAGATCAAAAGTTCCGTTCCTACAAGTTCTGCAACAAAACCGAAGGCTTTATTTATACTTTATAGGCTGAAACTTTACATGCAAGCACATAAATATATGCCAGAACTTTTTAAGATTATGATTGGCAGATAATAGGCTTAGTATCTGTAATGGAAAGTTTGAACAAACAAGGGATATTGTAGGTGAAGCTTCTGAAAATTTAGTTTCGAAACTGCAATAGAAGAAAAAAGTAACTTGGCAAGACATAGCTCAACATACTGTATCTCAGGATCATGTCGGCTTGACAGGTTGCAATTGTTTAGCACAAAGCAACTGTGTCCACCACAAGCATCCTGATATTGAATTTGAAAAGTTAGCTTGATGAATTACAATGAAATTAATGTTTGACTAAAGTATAAGAGATAATTACAGGGAATGCCAAGCAAAAACGAAGAATGTTTTCGCCAATCACGTATCTGTCACTTCGATCATGAATGATATATCTTAAAGTTTCATATTTTCCTATCTTTTCCTATCTTTTCTCAACAAGCAAACATATCATACAACCATATAGTGATATGCATCTCATAAACGGAATAATGCATACACTGATCCACATCTGTTCCTCTGAGATTATGTTGGACCCTACTTCCTATTTTTCTTTTCCTGCCCAATTGAAGTGCTAAAAGTGCTTTATGAAGAACCGAAAGTGTTTCTAACTACGTTAAGTGGAAAAACTTAAAGGCACTTCTGGTAGTAGAAGCACTTTCCGGAGAAGCAGGCGTTATGTGCAACTTCATAAAAACATTCATAGTTATCCATAGGACCTTGAGGGAGTTTGCAATTAGTATTTATATAGATGGTTATTCGTGTTAACGATGAAAGCATCTGGTTTAGGTTTGTCCTCAAAATTTATGCTTAGTTGTAATAATGCTTTTGCTTAGTCGTTCAAATAAAAGTGGAACATTTTTTTTGTACATGTATCATTTTATATTTGTTTAAGGTCTGAACTTATGCTTATTAACTTGGTTATTGGTAAGGCTCTTCTAGAGGCAGTGTTGGCGTGTAGATGATGAGGAATTAGGCGATGAGGAGGAAATGACGACGGCAGGGGACCAAAAGGTGTTATAGAAGAAGAAAGAAGTCTGATACACCAAGCAACTCCATCTGAAAGTGGAAGAATCCAAAGGTAAACCCCTTCGAACTCTTCGATTATGGTGTTCTTTAGTCGATTACAAGACTATAACTTGAAAAACTAACACATGCATATAATTTTTTGTGAAGGAACTGCGGTCCAGTGGCTGGATAGAAGAAAAGGGCAGCGCATTCTCTCTTTCACAGTAGCTTCGTGTTCCTCTCCCCCCAAACCTAATGGCTTTGGCCCAATTCGGAGCCTGCTCGAATCGGAACCTCTTGGAGATTCGGAGCTCCAGGTGAGATAATTTTCCCCAAATTGTATTCAATCTATGTTGCTTCATTTCATTTTCCATTTTAATTTGGAATTGTTGATATTTTAGGCGGGTATCGCATGTATACCCAGAACAATTTTTGTTTTGGATTGAGGTCAAATTGTCCAGCTTTATTAGCTATTTGGTCGCTTGTGTATTTGTAATATGAATAATATGAATTAGGTTTTTCTGTTAGTGTTCGATTGGTCAAGAAAGGATGCTTCGTTTTTGTTATCATGCATATTTACGTTGTAAACATCTGAAAAACTGCTTAATTAAAGTGAGATTTTCAGTTTTTTAGCTCGGTTTCAGGTCTTGAGCTTTGAATTTGTTTACATGTATCCCAGCTGAAGCTATCTACGTCATAGTTTGAAGTATTTGTATTGGTAACTGTGTTTTTGTTCCGCAATCTGAGATTACCAATGTGTTTTCGTTGCGCAATCTGAGTTGCCCCAACATCTTTTGTATGCAATTTGGTGTAGACAAGTGGTTTTTGATGTTTTGGTGGGTATTGGAAAAAAATATGAAATTGATTTGCGCTCAATGCATGGTTAATCTTAAAATACGGTTTATTAAATTGGTTTGATGATATATAGGTGGTAGCAAATTAGTGATGTCAACTCCTACAAGGAAGATGTTGATGAGGGACTTCAAGAGGCTGCAACAAGACCCGCCTGCAAGGATTAGCGGGGCACCTCAGGATAACATTATAATGCTGTTGACAAGGTTAGTTATTTTTGAGGCTCTGTTTCTGCAAACGTGAACTCTTAACATGGAAACCTTATTTTATGTGAATTTTAATAGTTATATATCAAACTCCTCTGCACTAAACTATGTGAACAATTATAATTAGAACTTGGATGAAATGGGTTCCATCCAGCAAAACTCCTGCCCTATTAAAAAATTTAAAACACTCAAAGAAAATTTGATAATGTCTCATAGTTTAGGCCATTTATCCAAGTCAGAATGAGAAACACAGATGTTTTCTTTATCTTACGCTATATGTTTGGCTGTAAATCGTACGGAGTAAATCTCTTGGTGTCATTCTAAATAGACTGGAAATATGTCTCATGCAAAATTTACGTTGATGTTTATCAATGGAAATAAGTTTTGAAGTGATTACCTTTCTTTATAAAAGTTGTCTTCACAAAGAAACCTATATTATGGTTTCACTTTTACTTGCTTTCGCACGGGGGGAGGTGTCTGGGCATGTAATTGGCGTGTCATTACATTCTAAATTTTTTTATCCTTATCTTCTATATTAATGTCACCATTCTCACCCGAAGGTTGCCTCTTCCAAGTTGGTATGTGATGATCTCCAATCCCTTCTGTGTGATTTCTCCGATTTGTATCTCAGATGGTTCCTAAGGGAGGGCAGATTTGTGGGTTTTTGGTTTTTAGGGTTTTATGTCTTGGAAATTTTCTTTATTTTTTGGGTATAAATCTCAGGATTTTGGGGTTTTTACAGTGGTGGGTTTATGGAAATTCAAATTCTTGCATTCACAAATCCATGTAAAACCCTTCAATTTTGTTTTGTTTTAACTTTTGAGGTATGATTTTCTAGAAATTAACAGTTGGAATCAACTTTGGTAATCTTGATTTTGGTTTGGTTTAGATAGGGTGTAGATGAGTCCACCTGCTATGGTGAAGATGGAAGATGCTCAATTGTACTCAATTTTACTTTTTTGTTATTGTGAATTTAATACATATGTAGTTGCCCTGTTTGGCTTTGGGGTTTTGATTTGGTGTTTGTTTGGGTTCCATTCGGGAATTACCATTAATAGATAGCATTCAATCAAGATGCATAACTCATACCCACATTTTTTTCATATTCCTTTTTCTGCCATCTCTTATTTAGAATTGTGTAATTGGTTGGCTCAAAGATGGTTTACGAGGCAGGGCTCTATATTCATCTTCGGATTGGTCCATATATTTGTTCAGAATGGAATTTTGGTGCCTCTGTCGTCTTACTCCTCCTTTCTCTTTCTTTGGAATCCTACCGTCATGCATGCAAGGCT